CGGGCGGGCTGCGGGCTCCCCGCGCTTTCCCGCAGAGGCGGCGACAGCACCCCTCCCCCGCGCAGCCTCCGGCGGGGCCGGGCCGGGGAACTTTCCCTGCCTGGAGCAGGGCCAGGGAGACCCGCAGCCAGGCCGAGCCGAGCCCGAGGGGGGCCGAGGGGCTACGATCCGCCGCCGTGGGGAGGAAACACGGGAGGCGTGCAGTTCGGGGAGAAGGGAAGCCAGGAGGAGCGCGGGGAGCCGGGCAGCCGAGCCGAGCCCCGGGCTGTGCGGGGTGCGGGGGGCACCCGCGAGGGTCGTCCGCCAGCGGGAGGCTTGGCGGGATGGAGAAGCGCTGGGGGCGGACGGGCAGCGCGGCGAGACCCGAGGACCTAAGTTGCGGGCACCACGCGAGTTTCGGAGGGTCCGGAAGGCACTGGGGGCGCCCCGGGCCCCCAGACTCCAGACCCCGGCCCCCGTCCTCACTCCACTCCGCACCCCGCGCCGAGCCGGGAAGAAAAGGTGTGGGTGCAGCCATCCCTGGGGGCGCTCATGCCCGGCCTGCGGGCCGGGGCGAGGGGCGCAACGACCCCGGGGCCCCCCGAGTTTCCCCTCCACGCTCCCTGGGCTTCGGATTTAGGAAGTGGGGGGGAGGTTGTCATGGAAACGTCCCCCCCTCTTCCACAGCCACGGCTTACTGGGGTGTCTGGGGGAAGATTTCGGGGCCAACCGGCCGGTGCCAACACCTACCTGTGGGGATCAGTGCCGCGGCCGAAAGGAGCAACAGCAGAAGCCGGAGCCGGAGCCCGGGAGGCGCCGCCGCCGCCGCCACAGCCGCTGCCGCCACACACTGGGATCCGCTCGGCAGCACAGCACTCGCCATGTCGGGCACCTGCCTCAGACTGGCGGCGGTGGCTGCCTCGGGAGCCCGAGCGGACAGCTAATGAGATGCTAATGACATGCGCTGGAGGCGGAGTCCGGGCCGGCCAATCCCAATACTGTGAGCCCAACTCGGCTCTCGGAGGACTCGCCCCCTCCCCCACGCCGCCCCCCCCAGCCCCAGGCGCGGCAGCGCGCCCGCGCCACCTAGGGGCGGGGCCGAGGGGCGGGGCGTATGCAAATGTGTTTACGTTGGAATTTGTCTTGCTTCTCCCGGATCAAGGAAAGAGTGTTCTCCTGGGTGCCTGGCGAGTGCGGGGCTCCGGCTCCTCCGGGGGGCGGGCCTAGCTTCCCGTACACCTCTACACCTTCCTTAGGAAATGTTTTGCGGCTGTCTCTGCCTCAGATCCGGAGGGAGGACGGGAGAATCTCCTTCCAGAGGCGCCTCGGTTCCCCACATCGCTGGCCAAAACAAAAAAAAAAAAAGCTTGCACATGTCCGTCCCTCACCTCGCAGGAAGGAATAGAGCTTTGGGCACCCGGGGTTGCGCTTGTAGTAGAGAGGGAGGCAGCAGGTCCCCGGATTGACAAAACAATCTGGGAGCAGTGCATGCGTGCTCTGCACGCCCGCCCGGCGGAACCAGCGAGCCGGCAGCGGGAGCGCGGGAGAGCCGGCTCGGCAGCCTAGTGGCTGACTTGAGCATCGTTGGGAGAACGGAGTCGGGGTCTTTGCTGTCGATCTTGGGGACAGGGAGATGGGGGAAGCGTGCACGCTCAGGCTCCCCGGTTTGTTGAGGATTTCCTTCTTGGTTTTAACGTGCATGTCTGTGTGTGGTAGGTGCAATACATATTTAAGATTGCATGCACACACTTCAGGGAGTGGGCAGGAGTAAGGGGAATTGGACGGGGGTCGGGGGAAGCTGCTGGGAATCTAGGGATCGATCAGGATCCTTCGGGTCACAAACCCACTCCTCTGAGCCCCCAGTCCTCTCCCCGTCCCCCCCCACCTCAAGGCAGCTGGGGACCAACAGGTGCTTTAGCTTACCAAAGTGTCTGGGAGAAGTGCTCCTGTTGAAGTGACTTGAGACTGAACTCTTGTCTCCCCGAAATTACCTTTGCTTTCTTTTCAACCAGGCAGCTGGCTCTCTTGTCTGCTTTTTAATTACGTGTTTTCTTTCCCTCTAGAAGATCGTATGAGCTCTGCCCCTCTGTTGCTCAAGCATCAAATTGAAGGACGAGCCATATTAAGTGTAAAGATTTATAATAATTCAGGTATTCATAGACTGCCAAACAATAAGATGTAGGAAATACAATTTGCATAATAAATATCAATATCACAACAGCTAAAACAAACCATGACAAATTATCTGTGGCTAAATGACCAAGAGATAACTGAATATAAAATACTGAATCTGAGTTATAGTCTAGAAAAATCATACGGAGTTATTTCCCTAGCCCTCACCTGATCAAAATAAAAAGAATAAATAAATAAGTAAAGAATACATATCAATAAAGGAAGTTGAGATCAGCCAATACACCAAATGAGTTACATTTTAAATCGGCCTCATATTATCCATCATGCATACACTAATTTCAAGACTGCCTTGTCTTTGCAAGCCTGGATATTCTGCTCTGTAATCCGAAGCCTGGATGCAGGAACTACATACAGGCAATCCTCCAGAAGTGAGTAAGATTCAACAGTACTTGAAAACAGGAAACCAACACCACGTGGTCACCCCAATAGGGCTCAATCATCAAAATTCCACCTATTCTTATCACCTCTGGATATGAAGCAATCAAGATTTCGGTTCCACCAAAAGCAGTACCTAAAACACAAAGGCCATCTCTATGTTGAAAGGGATATTTAAGCTGCCAAGTTGGTCCCACATGTCAGGAATACTACATGTCAGAAGCACAGAACTGGGCACATAGTAATGTCAATATTTACTATTATGATTACTACTCTTGTGGGCTGGAGTTTGTGTTATGAATTTAGCATGCATAATCTCATTCAATCCTTGGCATAATCTTCAAGGTATAAACAAATACTATCTCTCATTTTAATATTTTTAATCACTGTCAGAAAGATTAAGTGCTGGCCCTAAAATCTAAGCATCTACTTTGCAAGCAGAACCATGCAACTAACCACTATGCTGTACTGTGGCTCAATAAATATCTGCTAAGTGAATGAATAAATTTCACATTATAAGACATGAATAATAAGCAAAGGATAGCTATATTTTTAACATAAGGTAAAATATGCCAGCCGCCCAGAAAAGTTTTTTTTTAATTAAATAACAGAATTGCTGTATACTCCCAAGGAAAAGCATTCCTCATAAGGCTGATGCTGTAAGAGAATGTAGCCAGGCCCCAATCCTCCCACACTGAGAACGCAGTATGGGGACATTGGAAGATGTGGAGTGTTTTCATCTCCCTTCATTCTCTTGGCACATCAAATGAACACCTACTCAAATTTCCAGTTGGCAAAGAACAGCACGGGACATTTCTATAAGAAATGCTAATGCTGTATGACTTTACCTCACTGGAGGAATGCAAATAGCTTTAGAAATTTCTGCTGAAATACCACCTGTGCCATAGATTAGGGAACTTGCCCCATTTCCCAGGTACAGGAGTTACATTCTAGATACCTTTCACATTGGGAGTTATGTGGGAATCAGAGGTGAAGGGTTAGGGTTAAGCTATTGTTCCTCCATCCACTAGCCGTGCTCCTCTCCCACCCCCAGCTCTTTCACACTCAGGATGTCGCCAAGTGATTTAACATATGGAACATGTGAAGAACGTATCAGATTCTCACAGCCGCTAAGTACAAGTTATGACTACTCTGGCTTTCTCATAGTAAAGCTCGTCATTTTCTGCTCTGTGGACTAGAACTCCTCGCCAAGTACAAGTTCCAACATTTCCCCCCCTGCTACATGGATTGAACCAGTTTTAAAACCCAGATGGTGTTTTTGCCATTTATAACTGATAATCAATTGTTTTGTGAATTTAATTTTTCAAGAAAGAACTGAAATACTTATCAGAATTACAATCTGGGTGCTACTTGTGTTAGTGTGTTAGAATGAAATTCACACACACACACACACACACACACACACACGCACTAAGAGCCCAGTCCTTTTCCTTCTTTTCTTTTTTGAGAAACTTTAAAGAGAGAAAGAGAGGCTTTGTATTATTGCCTTCACTAAAACAGTTGAGAAATGTGGGTAAACATGTGAAAAATAAGCATTGAGGGAGGATTCATGCTTGGGGGAAATATATCAGTGATAATGACAACTAGTAACATCTTGCTTGTTAAAATTTTGTAAAACAAAAGCAAAGAAAAAACAAAGAAAAATTACTAGGAGGAGGAACAAAATTCATGTGGTGAAGCTCTCAGCTCAATGTGATAGAATTCAGACTTGGAGCCTTCAAGAGGTGATTGGATCTTAGATAAGATCAGGAGAGTAAGAACTCCATTCTGGTATCACAATGGTCTTATGAAAAGAGGAGGAGTGGCCCACTCCTATACTCCTTAGTTACTCAGGAGGCAGAGATCTGAGGATCATGGTTCAAAGCTAGCCTGGAAGGGGAGTCCATGAAACTCTTTTCTCCACTTAACCAGCAAAAATGGGAAATAGAGCTGTGGGTCAAGTGATAGAGTTCCAGCAATGAGTGGAAAAGCTAAAGGACAATGTTCAGGACTGGAGATCAAGTCCCAGCACTGGCACTAAATAAATAAGTATGAAACACCAGAGTTTTTCCTCTCCCTTAGCCTACACAAAAGGAAGGCCATCTGAGCACATGGCATCTGGTGCCCTCAGCAAGCCTGGACGAGGATGCTTAACTGAATCTAGTTATTTTGGCACTTAGATCTTAGACTTCTCATCTGGAGAAATGATAGGAAATAAATTTCAGTCATTCAAGCCACTTAGACTACAATACTTAGGCTGTTACAGCAGACTGAGTAGACAAAACAATCTTAGGTTTCAATTTCCATTATCAAAATCTGGATTAAAATTATTATAGATAACAATACTCACATAAATTCTATAAGTTGAAGTAAGTGAGCATCCTATTAGATTATTGGACTTCACACACTCTTATTAGAATGTACATTTTTATATTCTTAGAGTAACACTATAATAGTTTTTCTTTGCAAGAGAGAGGGGAATCTTTAAGAAATACAAAGCCGGCCTTAAATCCATATTCCTAAATGAATAACACTTTATCCAAAGGTTTATTCTTCTAAAGTCACAGTGTTGACAATAAACTCTTGGATATCAGTTTGAAAGAACGTAATGAAGTAGGTTGTAGAAAACTATACATAAAGTGGGTCAGGGTGCAGTGCCTATTCCCATGAAGGGAATTTTACCAAAGGGACCCAGTCATAGTTTCTTCCAATCACATATTTAGGAATATATTCAAATATAAGTGGTTGATCCAAATACACACTCACCAAAGAAAAAGGAATTTACACAGGGTCCCTAGGGAACAGGCCCTATTAAATTCCATAAATATAGAGCTATATGAAAAGCTGCATCTACCATCCAGGAACTCAAGTATGATAGGGGAGAGAGAAACATGCCACAATGCTTATATACCACACATGTTTTATAATATGTGCACGGAGCTCTATGTAAACAGAAATGGAAGGCAACTAAATATTCTCAGAAGAGAAGTATGAATACATATCATGGGAGAATATTCTTCAGCTAAGTCTTGGAAATTAAATAAGACTCCTTGCAATAGACTGGGATACTGTTGGGATAAAGGAAAGATTGGTCTAGAGACACATCATTCATAAGGCTCAGTAGCTTAGGAAAGCTATTGGGGAATTACAAGTAGAATGGCTGGTTTACAGGTTGCCAGAGGACAAGTGGCAAGAGAAGAAGCTAGAAAAAGAAAATACAGAGGGACTAGGCCATGCTTTGCTAAGAAGTTTCTATAGTTTACTAAAGGTAATGGAAATCCACTAAACTAGTAGAATCTCATGACCATTTTATTCTGG